CAAGCGCACTTGCACGCTGTGCCGCGACTTGCTTTTGCTGCCGGGCATGCACTGCCGCATGCCATTGCCGGCATACAATGTTGCAGCCCTGAATGGCTCAACGAATCCTTATTGCATGACCCCGTGCCATAAATCTAGATGTAGACCAGGGCGGCTGGTTCATATCGCAGATGCAAGATGCTGATTGCAGGCTTCTGCTCCTGGACACCCGTGCCGCTCTTGCATCATGGTTTGAGATGACGGCTTCGTTCATCGCCGATAAGGTTTCCGGGCAGCACAGTGAGTGTTGCCAAACACCTTGGTCGAGCTTCAAACCTCGGCAAAGTCGTTCCCTGGCACTGACCCAGCCGTGGGCATTGTTCAAGCAAGCGCGCATGCCAAATAGCAAGCCTCCGCAAAACCATCCCCTATAAGCCCTAACTAAGTTTAGGCGGCGCGCAGTGTTGCAGCCATTCAGGGCTTCCATGGCAACAAGTTCCATGCATCCTTTTTGCACGACCGCGTGCCGTAAAGTTGGATGCAGTTCAGGGTGGCTGCTGGATCATGTCGCAAGTGCAAAATGCTGCTTGCAGGTTGCTGCCAGTCTTGCATTATGGTTTGAGATGACCGCTTCCTTCATCGCCTATAAGTTTTCCGGGCAGCACAGTGGCACAGTGAGGGTTGGACTTTAAAGCTTTGTCGAGTTGCACACCTCAAGCACAGTCATTCCCTAAGCCCTAAGGGCCCTACGCCCTAAACCCATTGTCCAGGATGCTCCCGTGATGTGTTGGCATTGACACATCAATCGAGCGTGCAAGCCCGACAGACGTGAAGAAACCGCCGACCATATCCTGATTGTGCAGATCGTACCAAAAGAGCTCATAGCTCTTAAAGTCCGAGCTCGATGGCTCCTAAAACCGACCCCCGCCCTTCAAGCCCTTCAGCGCCTGACCCGGCGGACATGAGTTGCATCAGTGCAGGGAACTCAGTTTCCACCATGCTTCACAGCTCCTCGGGGCAGTTCTGGACAGGTACCCTGCACAGCCTTGTGTTGCAGAAGTGATCCGGGTCCTGTTCCTGATGCCCCGTGAGAACTTTGCCGGGGAGCCTCTGGGGCACATACCCGAGGCTATCCCGAGGGCACTTGGCGCAACGGTTTCGTTGAAGCCCACGGTGCAAGTGAAGATCCCTAAAGCATTCGAGTGGCAGGCTAAGTGGACTGAGTGGAGCTGTATGCAGAGCTCTTGGTAGGTCCCAGCTTTGTCAGCCGTTTGTGGGCAGTTGCCATGCATCTGGATGGCCTGAGCCACAACAGTCAAGCCCAAGAGGCTTCTTGAAGCCACCCTTTGTAGCGTTTAGCGTCGTTTGCTCACCGCGCTTGACGTCGTGGAGCCGACAGCATCTGTCCGACTGATCCGGCTTCAATTGTAAGATGCCTAAAATGCTTGTTGCAGGAAGAGGTTCACAGGGCAATCGTGTCAACTCATTCTCGGAAGTCCCAATCTTCCACTTGCAATTTTCATGCAGTCTAAAGTTTAGGTGACTTCCCGCTCCTGCCCCGGGCTGAAGACCTTCAGACAGCTTTTGCTGCTCTTCAATGTGGTTTCTATCTTGGAGCTGTCAAGGACCTCCCTCGAGCTCCCACCCCCCCTCCTTGCAATCCAGGGAAGGCCCTCCAACTGGCTGCCCCACCGACAAGGGAGGAACAGCTGCTGTAGCAAGCAATAGCGGCAAGTGTGCGAGAAAAATTTATGCGCCGCAGGTTCCAGCCGCTTGGCATGAGGTTTCATGTTTAGGCAAGCTGCCACGCTGCTCCCGACATTTCCCAACATTGCCTGTGCTTGCTCTTGGCTTCAAACCCTAAACCCTACACCCTGCACCCTAAACCCTAAACCCCGGTCCACGCAGCCTTAGGCGGCCTCGCTTGAGGCAGCTTAATGGGGACGACCAACCTGTGTCATCCCCTGAATTGGCGCGGGACTCGATGAAACTTCCGGAGACTTCGGAATCGTTGGCTTTCACCTGAGAGTCCCTCCTCTCAGACAGCCCAGTTGTGGGATGCCGCTTCAGCTTTGGGCTACGAGGGCTCGGTGGGTTCGCCTAAAAATTCCGAGCTCATCTCCCTTTTAACCACTCAAGACTGAGACTGCACCTCATCTTGGAAGGTTCAGACCTCCATGGTCCATGAGGCGATACTTTAAGTTTGTGCAGCCTTGCCTTTCCGCCCAAGATCAAGAATGAAGGGCTTGGGCGCTCTTTGCGATGAGGAGGTGACCGCGTGTCTGAGCCTGTAGCAGCAGCAGCGTGCTCCAAAGCTCATCTCCGACTGGCTTTAATGCCATCACAAGCCCTCGGCTCCCTCGACTCTTAAACCATCTTAAACCCTAAGCCCTAATCCCTAAACTCTAAGAACCTCTTGAGGGATACGGACCTCGGCAGCCCAGTCCAGTTCCAGTTGCGACCGGAGAGGCCTGAGCTGATGATGAGGGCCCTGCCTGCCTGCAGGCATGTGGTTCTCTGAAGTAAGATTCCCTTTTGCAGACCTCCCGAATTCGGTGGCTCCAAGACCCTACTAGAAATTGGGTGGTTCCAAAGCCCTATAATTGCCATGGTCCCCGAATTCGGTGGCCGCTTAAGGGAGCCCACCCGGATTCAGAAACCTCCGTGAACGGCTCTGGACTCGCAGCTTTCGACACGCCACGTGTGGGGCGCCAATCCACATGCCTTGTGGTGCCTCGAGCTGCATTTGATAGGGTTTGTAGTTTAGGTTCTACTGGCTGGGTACGAGTTTCTTGAGCACGTGGTGCTGGCGTTTGCAAGGGTGTGGGCGTGTTGCTTTAGCTTCTTCCGCTGCAGCATCCTGATTTGAGGACGTCTTCTTCACGTCATCATTCATACGGGAGGGCCTCAAATGCAAGAGCCTGAGGGGGTTATTCGAGATATTAGAGAAACTCGAATCTAGTGACTAGAGAAATTGGACCATGAAGACAAGTCGCAAAACACAAGACCAACACGCCGGGTTCACAACATCATTAAGCAGGGACTCGCAGCGAGTCTTGCCAGTCCCCTTCCTGGCTTTGCTGATCTTTGTGGTTAACTCTTGGGGACAGGGCTCATACTCTCCTTTTGAACACTGGCCATCCGGCCAAGCCGGTGTGCAATACACCGGGTCCCCGGCTTGTGGCTGTCCACTCGATCTGATCCATCGGACGACCGGAGGAGTATTGTACCTTGCGCTCGTAATGCAGAAGCTGATGAGAATCCAGCCTTCATCTCTCTGTATCATTGATGCGACACCGACCTGCAGTCGCCACAGGCTGCCCTCCGTGCCCTCCGTGCCCTCCGTGCCCTCCGTGCCCTCCGTGCCCTCCGTGCCTCAGCCGGGTCGCAAGAGAACCTTGAATGGGGCTCTTGTGGCCGCTTGGAGCCGGCACAATCCACTTGACATGGGACGTCTTGTCTAGCTGCCGGCAGCTGCACTCCAGCTGTGCAACTCTGAACAACAGGCCGCGTAGCATTGAGCCCTTTTTGTACATGACCGTGGCTCTGCTGACCTGCATCGTCATCGACTTTCTTGGCCCGCGTGCATAGTTACATCGACGGCAGCATCTCAATTGGCCCACCCCGGAGCCCCAAACCTTTCCGCAAAGCCCCGGCATCCCTTTGAACGTGCCTTGCCGGCCTTGCCATTGTACCCGTCCCTTGCAGAGGGACGCAAAGTGTGAGCGTGGCTGCAACATGCAGTCTCCATTCCCGGGGATTAGGGTACAGTAGGGATGCTTCAGTTGTGAAATGCAACCAGCAAGTGATAAGCTGCAGAGCTAGCAAGGATAAGCAGGACAATGGCCTCTCTACTCGCTCAATTGCTTTTGCTGACAGGAGGAGTCGAAATGGCCTGCAGCTCGGGCATTGGGAGAAGGGTACTAGGATCTGCCTCAACAACTAAGGGGCCACCCTTGCCATTTGTCCCCAAACAATCCACCATTGTTAGTCAAGTGCCTCTGGGTGGTGCCTACGTGTATCAGGGCAACATCTCTAGGCATTTTCTCTCTTTGCAGCTGTTAGGCCTTCTGAGGCCTTCTGATGTCTTACAAAAGTGCCTGGGAGGGCTAGTCGCATGCAGACCGATGTGCACACCGCGGGGGCTTCTTGCTGGCTGGCAGTCCACGCCTTAATTTCCTTCCCACACAAACGCCCTCTATCCAAGCAATTTGCCCGGCGTGAGAAAATGGCATCGGCATTTTCCAAGGCCCCCGCTGTGAAGAGGTGGGGGATCCCAAAGGTGGGGTCTCCATAATGTGTCAGGTCAAGCCAATGATGCAGGGCCGGTGCTCATGCCTTTTCCCCCCTTTGAACATGGACAGACCCCCTGCGCTTAATCAATGTTGCAGTGGCGGGGGGTGCATAGTTGCAGGAAATCTTTTCCTACAATTGCCAGTGTCCGTGTCCAGCGGAAATAGGGGCATGCGTGGCTTGCCCTGCAGGAGGTAGCTGCAAAACGTGGACCCAGACGTGGGATCCTACAATTGGCACATTCGTATGGTTGGGGGAGTGAGAATTGTACTCTACATTTTCTGCTCCCCCCCATCCTAAGCACCGGGGGCTATGGACAGCAACACCTGGGACTGTGGGCCTGGCGTGCAGCTGAGCAGGCCCCACCCCTGTGCCTATGCTTCCGCCCGTCGCACATGCAAGTTGCACCTTTCTGACACACCGGGCAGGCCACATACCTGGATCCGCATACCGTCACTTTTCATGGGTAAGGTCCACTTCAGGGCCTCTGCGCGCAATCAGTGACCCGAACGGCATGGAAGTGAGTTTAACCCGCCAGTGGTTCAACTCACAAGTCAGGTACCGGATCTGGACTGCAGCCCGTATCCCTTAATCTGCTAAGATCATGCTGAAGTGGCCCAGGCTGTTCACGGCGCTCGTGTTCAGTCCTGGCCCGGGGCAACAATCAGCTGTGCCAGTGAGACGGACCACTTAGTTGACTGCTGGACCGCTCCAGTACTAGGCTGAGCATGGCCATCAGCTCAGCGTGGCAGTTGAGCCGGTGCATCCGGCGCGGCTTTGCGCGGCCTCGTCTGTTTCTTTTGAGAGGCCTTTCGCTGAAGCAAGAAGATGCCCCGCTGACCACGGTGACCCTGGGGGTGCGCAACAGGATGTTGCAAACTATGCTGCCAGGTAGGCCACGCCATCCGGCCAAGAGTTGCTGTACCAACATCCTGGATGTCCTGCTCAAGGCAGAGACCCGGCATCTGTTTCACGTTGACAAGTTTCACGTTGCCAACCTTACCCGTACGCCGTACGAAAAAAAGGGGCAACACGGGGCCACAAGGCCTTCTTTGTCATTGGGATGTGTTTCTGTATGTTTCTGTATATATTCATTCGCATTCGAGGCGCAGACTGCGGGAAAAGGATACCAGGTCGCCGACATTGACATCGCACAGACTTGCTGCATATCAAAGGTAATTAGACCGGTCTCAGCGTTACAAATTTGCCAGGGGTTCCGGACTCGCGTCGCCCCCCTCCGCGGTGATGCGTTGGCAAGCGCAGTGGTGGCAGCCTTTCGGGACGACAACGGCAGGCAGGGTTGGCAGGGTTTTGGTTTTAGGATGCGGTCAGAGTAGGGTTTTGGATTTAAGGCCTTCAGGCTTTTCTGGTTGAAGGGTTTTGGATGGAGTTGCGGGATGTCCAAGTGGCAGAGCCTTGGTGGGCCAGATGCTGCATGCCGCAGTCTTAGCGAACCCGACCTGAGGGGTTAGTATACTTGTTTTATATGGTAAGATAGGCAAGGGGTAGAGGGGGTAGTATACTTTGGCCATGCAAGCCACATCTGCTGATTCTGTGCTGAAGTTGAAGTTGCCGCAAAAGAAGCCTCGCCACGGTTGCACGCGCCTGGAAAAGCATCCTCTTGCAGACTCCAAAAACTCTCCAAGAGCCGTATCCCTCCTTGCTCCCACCAGAATCCTTAACCTAAAGCCCTAAACCCCTAAACCCCTAAACCCCTAAACCCCTAAACCCCTAAACCCCTAAACCCCTAAACCCCCAAACCCCCAACCCCTAAACCAAACCCTCAGCCGAAGGATTTCCCTGCAGCCGGCACTTCTCCCCCCGCGCGGCTTGGCGCCCAGCCTGGGATGTGCCGTGGACGTGGGGGCCCGGAGCCTGGCAGGAGGGTTTGAGGTTTAGGGTTTAGGGTTTGGGGGCATAACTGTGGGGAGTGGATTTAGGGTTCACAGTCGAATGGTAGGGACTGATGGGACTTATAGGGTTCATGTAGGGATTTAGACTTGGAGTCTTTTTATAAGCCGAAAGAGATTCACGGCTTGTCGGGCACCAGCGGTTTTAGGCCTCCGGGTATGTGCTTTGGAAGAGGTTTGCCAGGAGCATGTTGTCGAGCACTCATGGTGTTCACGGTGCCCAGGGTGTTTGGTTCAGACTTGGTCGTTTATGCTTTCAGAGCGCAGCGTGCCAAGCCAGTGTTATGTGTCATTGTCTCTTGAGGAGGGCCGGGGCCTGGTGATCTGATTCACGTGGGCCGGAAGGGGCGTCCCTTGTTGGCGAGCCTGTCTAGAGTAAGGAGTCTACGAACAAGTAACTCATGAGGGGGATGCTCATCTGGCCCAGGCCGCGGCATCTCCAAGAAATCATCAAGCTTGAGTTGATGTCATCAGCCATGTGGGGTTCACCGCTTAGGTACTGGAATTCAGGTTTTTTTAGGTTTAGGGTTCAATCATGTCCGTTTTTGTACTGGAAGAGCTGGCTTTGAAGGCCTCTGTGGATGACCTGCAGCTCTTCGCCTCCTCTGGTGGCGTGCTGTGGTTGCTCTACAGCTCAGAAGAAGGCACGTTACAATGGTGAGCTGCATTCCGAAAAGAGGGGTACCCTTTTTGGGGTCCCTTTCAGGGGGATTCTATTCTATTTGGGGAATAAAAGGGGTACCCCTATTTTAGGAAACCCTCACATAATGTTCATAATGAAGGATTCTCTACGGTCCTGTGGTCGATGGGTGTGAGTAAATTGGGGCGCTTATGTACCCGATCAGGCTGGGTTGTTCCCCCTTATACGAACAGTCCTTCATGGGGATTATAATGCTCGAATCCTTATTAAGGACTATGAGTATATGGGAGAACATCCCAAGTTTCCGTCTCCAAAGGGTTCAGTGGTTGGTGGCCAGCATTGCTACTTCCGTTTCCACGATTTCGGGTTTAGGGCTTGGGAGCCTCTCAGCCAACCTACTGTACTACTTGAAGGTTCATGGTACTTACTAACCAATTATAACTGTACTTATAACCCTACTTATAGTACCCCTAAAGGGCCTTACAGGGGTTATCCCAATTATAAGTAGGGTTATAAGCCCAGTTATAATTGGTTTGTAAGTACCATGAACCTTCAAGTAGCTCCACCCACCCTCACAAAAACCCAAACCAAAGCCACCTCAACATTCCTGAGCCGACAACATCCAAGCGACCTTCCCAGTTCTTCCCCGCACCTACAATCCAACAAGACTCTTGTGCCAAGATAGAAATTCCAGAGAACCGCTCTCTAGAACCAGTCAGCAAGCAGGGTTTGGGGTTTTTTGCTTGGTTAAAAGAGTGAGCTGTGCCGCTGTGCCCCGCACTGTCATGGTCATGTGTCCCATGCTTGTTTTTACTTTGCTGTGGCCCTGGTTGTGCACGACAACCTCGCCGCGCTCATGGCAAGTTTCAGCAGGGCAATTTTAGTCTGACAAGTGGTCTTTAGTGGTCTTTCCGTCGAGAGGCGAAGCTGGGGAATGTCCTCATCCACTTCACTTGGAAGCTGTGTGCGGTTCTGCTTGCCCTTTCTATCAGCGCTTGTCTCGGGCCACTTTGGAAAAAGACGCCCGAATCAGCAAGCCATCCTGCTCCCCGGCGAACTCGCCCAGTGAGTCTTGAAGCCCATTGTGGTTGGCCCGGCAGCTCAACTCACGAACAAGCGCTGCACTGATGTGTGCACGTAGCCGAAGCGCATGCGCTTGTGAACGGCAGCCGGCTTGGCCTGCTTTAAACGAACGCTCGCGCTTTTCGCTTGCCTCCAACTTGCTACGGGCCACCTCACGAGCAAGGAAGGAAACACCAGCATCAGCTGCGATTGGCGAGCTCGAGATGCTACCTGTGTACGGCTGTGTAAGGGTGCTGGCATAAGAATCCACCGTTGTATATAACCTCCGGCAGTGTTTGTCTTTTCAGCAGCTTCACACTTAATTGATCATCGGTTTTTGGAGAACCCCCGTGGTAGGCCTGGCCCACATCCGCGCTGTGCGCGGGCTGGGTCCCTGGCGAATGTCGTTGCAGGCAGGTGCTCTGAACCCAAGCTGCGAAGCCCTCAACCGCCCTGAGTCTATTGATTCTAGGCAGAAATGGATGTTTAAGCTGTAAGGTCCGTTAAGTGAAGCTTTGCGCCCCTCTGTTGCCAGTGGCCGCTGTTGGGCCTAGCCAACACCCTTCCGCAGACAACTGGCATGTTGCCCTGGTTGAGTGCTTTTCCGCCGACGCCCTGTGCAAGAATCAGAAGGTTGGCTCCGCCGATCGAAGCAGTTTCTTTAGCATTGTCAGGTAGATAAGTGTCAACCTAGTAGAAGCTATAGGCACCTCGAGAAACCATGTATTGAATGTTGGGAGAGGAATTAGATCAGGTGGCAAAGGGTTCATGAGCATGCGAATTTGAGACCACCACAGGCAGCATTTCAGCATTGAAGGTTTGAGGCCGCTAGGACTGTGAACGACTGTAGTCGCAGGTGACTTTGAAACGTGCTTGTGGCGATCTGAAAAGTAATGGCTTGCTCAGACTTGAGCATGAACTTGGCTCTTGTAACGGGCATTTAGGGTTTTTGTCACGTTAACAACACCCTAAAAGCGTCAGGTGTCGCCCGACGTCGTCCTCTCTGCCGGCGTGACAAAGGTGACTGGCGTCGCTGTGGCAGCCTCGGCCTCCGTTCATCTCCTGAACGACTGGGCCCTGAGCCCTGAAAATCGAGTTTAGGGGCAATGGGCGCCTGGAAAGTTTCGTTCTGCTCGCCGACGCCTCCGCCGAATGGTTGATACTGGTAGGGCCTTTAGGGTACTGGGGGTTTAGGGTCCTGAGATGTCTTATACGCTCCTTGGTAGGCCTGTGGACCCCGATGCAACTTGGGTTCTTCGTCAGGCCTGGGTTCCAAAGTGCCCAGAAAATCTCAGAGCGAAATTCGAGGACAAGCTGGGTGTCAGGGTTCAGGGCTCAGAGTCGGATTCATTCAAAAAAGTGCCATTGCCAAGGTGGACTTGATGACCCCTCACGCGCTTTACGACACTCGGAACTGCACCAGCAAGTCTCTTTAAGTATTCTGGGGCCAAGGAATCCCCGGGTCGGGCTGGGGGTTCTTCAGAATTTGCGCCAGTACGGGCTCATGTATGGCGTTGAAAAACGGAGGGGACTGTGCTCAAAACATACACCCTACTTGGAGGTTCGTGGTACTTCATAAAGTGAGAACTGTATTTATACCCAACTTGCAAGCCCCTGAAGTGCCCTAACGTGGTTAAGGCAGTACCAAGAACCTCTAAGTAGGCCTGACAACTTGCCAAGCTTCCCAAGCTTCGTGGTGGATGAGCTGGTTTTTCTGCCCTTGCCTGACTTTGCCCTGAACGAAGAGCACCCCTAAACCCTAAACCCTAAACCTTAAACCCTAAACCCTAAACCGTGGCTCTTGAGGCCGTGCTCCTCTATGAGGTCCAGAGCCAAGAGGCTGCCACCACGCCACTCACGCTGACCCGCGTGGCCAGGCTGGAGGCGTCCTCGGGCTTTGGTTTAGGGTTTAGGGTTTAGGGTTTAGGGTTTAGGGTTTAGGGTTTAGGGTTTAGGGTTTAGGGTTTAGGGTTCAGGGTTCAGGGTTCAGGGTAGTGCCTTAGGTGTTTTAGGGTAGCTCCCCAGTACCTTTAGCTTTCGGGCTTCGGGGTCTTGGGTCTGAGCGACTCGCAGGGTCGAAGGGATGCACAAAGATTCTGGGAAAGTCGAGCCACAAACGATCAAAAACCATGCAAAAGCGGGCAAAACAGTTAGCAACGTTAACTTGAGTTCTTTGAAGACGATGAATGAAGAACTAAGAAGTTAACTTCCCGTTGCAAGTAAGTGGAATATGCGTTTGTTTGGAGGGCGAGCATTTGCTGTTTGCAAGAAAGCCCACGTTTCAGGATTGTCTCATCTTCACAACCGGGTCTGTTACAGTTCAGTCGACTCTCTGCTTTGATAAAGTGATCCGTGCTTCCATAGCAATCATACTAAAGGTCCTTTAAACCTCATTCGCGAACCACAGTGGATGATTCACAGACTCGGAAAAGTGATGTGATATATTCTCATGGACAAAGCGAAGCACATGAAATCATATGTCTTGGGATATCAATCGAATGAATCAACAACATACCCTGCATCTTAATCTTCTTCATTTCGTAGCTATGAGTTGATGTTATGTCAAGGAACCTTGCCTGCCTGAACTGTATACACAAATTTAGACACTGATGGAACTATAGATTTGTCAAACCCAAAACGGCGAGCGAGTCATTAAAGAAGCAACAGATGACAGCGAAACCTGGTTCTCTAAATTTCAGAAATGATATATTGGAATTCACCCCTTCGTCCACCAAATGGCCGAAGCACATTGACGCACCAAAGTTCGATACACTGTCATCTAGCCATGTATCTGATGTCGCAGTTCTCGTCATGATTTGTTCATGTTTGCGCGGAAGTGGAGGCCTGAAGTCCTGGACATAAAAGCAGGTTGTCGAGCTTGTAGTTAGGGATGGTGCTTCGATGAAGATCTTCCAAGATCCGACGCATTAAGCCCTAAAATCCCTGGATTTTCATCAGCCTTTGTATGTTATGCACATACATATATATGTTATTGCTATTGTGTATATATATATATATATAGATATCGTAATAGTAACAGTACGCGTAAGACTAAGAACAACAACACCCTGTTCCTTCGGCTGCTAAGCCCGAAGCGAAGCCCAAAAGTCTAAAGCGCTTGGAGGATCCCTCGAGCACGCCGGTCCTTGGTGAGGAACAGGTCTTGAATGAGGCGGCACAGAGAATGCTCTCCTGATGTTGCATCTCAGGGGGGGCAGGGAGGGTTTAATTCGGGTTTAGGGTTGAAATCGGAAACCCGAAGCTGCCGGTTTGCAGTTTCGTCGTGATACAGCGCCATACCAGGAGCCTTGAGAAGCCTAGGTGCCAAAGTGCCAAAGATGCGCGTTTTATAAGCGAAGCTCCCTTGCCTTTACACCACAGCCGGGCGCACAAGGGAGCCATCATCCTTGCCAGTACGCCAGTATGCGCTACTCAGGTATTGTAGGTATGGAATTAGATCACCACTCACCTCCCACATCTTGCCAACTTCACCATAGAACTCCTTGAGGGCCCGATCCTCTTCCCCGACTTGGTTGCCCTCTCTGATGGGCGTGTCGCTTGCAGCTTCGTAGCGCCTGGGTTGCAGTGTCGAGTGGAGGGCTTGTAGGGGTTCAGAATGGGGCGACTTGACTGTTACAGGAGGTGTGCAGCTCAGGAAAATCTGGGCCTGAAGTGGCGCTAGGCATCTGGAAGTTCTTTTCTATATATGTAGCCATGAAATATATATATATATATATATTCTTTTATACGTACACATTTTTATACATACATATATATATATGGCTCACTCGGCAAGTGCTGTGAACGGTTTCTGCATTTTCTGTTGAATCCCGAGGCCCCAGAACCCGGTACTCCAAAGTCCCAATGCAGACTACACACATCTATGCATCCTAAACCCTGAGCCCTAAGCCCTAAACCATAAACCCTAAGCCCTAAACCCTGCGCCCTAAACCCTAAGCCCTAAACCCCCGAACCCCTAAACCCTTTTTGTCTGAGAATATACGCAGTTCGCAGGATGCACGCCGCCCATCCGCCTCCTCCACCCTTCGCCTGGGTCGCATTGGCGGGTGGTCGCTGAGCAGAGTAGTAGAGTCATAATATGATGGCTCAATGAGAATATTGAGAAGAATCGTTCTATGCTGAAACTAACAGTTTCATACTTGTGAGTAGAATCTTAGTAGAAGTTCAGAGTCAAGTCGCGGGCGTTTTCTTTCATAGTTTTTTCCGGGACGAGGACCATGCGGGCCCTGTTAGTCTTGATACTGACCTGGAGCTGCCACCAGCACAACCCCAAACGCTCGCCGCCTCGAAAGCCCCAAGCCTCAGGCCCGGACAAAAGAGAGGTAGATTTCATTCACCTCCAACGATCTCAAAGACTCTCATCCTCAAACCCTAAAACCCGTACGCCCTGTAAGGGTCTGTAAGTCCTGAAGTCCGAAACCCGATGACCCCAGCCCAGGCCCGAGGATGAAGTGCTGGAAGAGGGCTCCACTTGGGCGTTGCTTTCCTGGGGTGTGCCTTTGATGATCAGGAGGGAGGTGGGGGAATTTTCGAGAAGTTGAGAGGGTTTGGTGACTTGGGGTGGCTTGTGGGATGTAGGGTTCGGAATTTGGGGCTAAAGGCGGCGGTTAGATTTCAAGCCCTAGCAACTCTCCGTGCCTACCGACATGTAACGCTGCCTTCTTTTCGCGACTGTAGCGAGATCTCCATCTTCTGCCCTGGGGACTATATGCACTTGCACTCATAGCAATCAGAGCATGTAGAAGAGGATCCTAACTTAGCACCAAAACCCTTGAAGACGTTTTAGACATCTGAGGAGATGGTGGGTGCCGGGACCACGCCCGCGCGCCTCGCAGCCTTCGGCGTTGATGGGCACTTTGGCCGCGGCCACCATTTTGTGATGGTTTGGGGGAGACTCTACAACTGTAAAGTTTGATAGGTTTCTATTGGGATGTTCCCCCCTTGTACTGACAGTCCTTAATAGGGATTAGAGTACCCCTATTATAATCCCTACTAAGGACTGTGGGTATAAGGGCGAGCCGTCCAAGGTTTATAGTACGTGCATGGGCTACGCATCTCGCGGCATCCAGAGTCAGAGGCGATTCCCTCTGGCACCCCACAGAGAAATGTCAGAACCAAGCGACAGCTCCGAGTTGGGATGAGATCGGCCATTGTCAAGCCTTAGCAGTCTCCCTCCATGCCTTCAGAATGCCTTCCCCATTTTGGACCAGACGCAAGGGGGGGAAAGGATGAAAGGAGAGGACATCAGTACCCTCATGTTGCGTGCTTGTTTGGGCTGGTATTCCAAAGCACCCATAACTCGCAGGTTCTTCAGCGCCTTTTAGCACCGTTGACCTGTCGTCCAGGCCTTTGCTCGCTGTTTCGGCGACGTCTGCCCGATGGCTCCATGCCTGGGGGAGGCCCTTTCCGTGAGTCGGTACATCTATCTGAGGGTAATCGTAACCTCTTCGCTCTGAGGTCCTTAATTACCTCTTACACTACGCAGAAAGTTGTAGACTGTGCGAAGATCAAAGTTGTGTTCGAGTTGTAATTAAAGGGCAAGCTCATCCCAAGCCCTTGGCTGTCGCATGTGGTGTCGACGCTGGCATACAGCAACGTGCAGGTCCAGAACCGGCACGCGAAATCACCAGGAACACGCATTAGTCACAACATACGGCGCGGACAGACCAAGCAACAACTATATTCCTCAAAGAAGTAAGTGCAGAAATAATTGGCCACTGTCCGAGTTCCTTCATGTAGGCATGATAATACTAATAGTAATACTGAACAGAGTGCTTGTAATACGAAGGTTACTAGTATATACAAATCATAATAATATTAATAATAATAATAATAATCAATAAACAGTCATGCCAGGCTCGTGGCGCTGGGACCTTCCGAAGCAGTGGCTGGACGTGTGGGATCCTCCACATGGCCGGTGGCCCTACACCGGGACGAGGCCGAATTCTTCGTGCCCCAAGCATCTGCCCTAAATTAGATCACCCAAATAGTAGGATCCCCTCCTTTTTTATCCGGACCCCAAAAAGGTACCCCGAATATCGTAAATGCTGATATTCCTTGTTTCGAAGTCCCTATAGGCCTTTTACACCCTCAACTATATAGGGCTTGGTGGCTTCCGGGGCTTATAGGTACCTTTTTTCAACCTCAGCCATGGGGCTGAAAACCCTGAACCCTAAACCCTAAACCCTAAACCCTAAACCCTAAACCCTAAACCCTAAACCCTAAACCCTAAACCCTAAACCCTAAACCCAGTCATCGAGTTCTGCGATCCAGGTGGCGATGTTGCTGCCCGTTGCAGGGGACTCTTGGCCTAACGAAGGCATTCAACCCAGGATCCGTGTACCCATACTTGGAGGTTCATGGTACTTATAACCCTAATGACAACTCTACTTATACGCCCTCTATAAGTCCCCCAAGTAGGTTGTAAGTAGTGTAAGAACTGAGGTTATAAGTACCTGTGAAACTCCAAGTATAGTATATGCTTGGGCCTTAAAGGGGTTCGTTCCTCTATAGTAGCTTTAAGGCCCAATTATATACCATATAGGCGCACTTAGGGTTCCATTCGCAAAGGCGAGAATGCCGGTACGTGGAAGATTCTTCCGGCCCGCACCATCTCGGAAGTTTAATTAGGGTGTAGGGTTTTGGGGATCGTGTTTGAGTTTGAGCAAATTTTCAGTGCCGAGCGTCCTCTTTTCAAGGCAGCCCGCTTACGTGCAGGGCCCTGTCTAGATACGGGCACTGCGCAGGTGTTGCCGTTTCACCCAGCTTGTTGCAAATAGCCTGCTTCTTCCGCCCAGGGGTTCGCAGTTCCATGGAAGAGAGCCATGTAGAAACTTCAACTGATTTGAGGAGGGGGCGTGGAACCGGCTTTTTGTGTACGTTGGGCGTGCCGAAACCCTTTGCAATCCCTTTGGCATATTAAAACAATATATACGTATATGTAGAGGGAGATATGTATACATGTATCTACATGTGTGTACATGTATATACATATACATACATATATATATATATATACATGTGACCTCCAAGCCCTCATCTCGATAAGGCCTTTTCTTTCAACCCCGGGATTTGAAGCAACGTCAGGGAATCCCGCATCCTCCCCATCTCCGTGACCTTTGTGTGACCAGTTTGTGGGCACCCTAAATGCAGCGTTTTCTGTTTCCTCGGCAAAGACGAACCTATTCAGGTCGACGAACCTGTTCAGGGCTGTTTAGTACAGCGCCATTCAAGTCTCCAAGGACCCCGGCGCAGTGCACCAAGTGAACCTGGAGTGGCCATGCTTCCTGCCACAGGCATCGTGTCGCCTATGAGCTAGGGTTTGGTTCAAGTGCAGTTCAGAACATGTCGGCTTGCACCTCCGTGTTTGTGGGCGGTAGGGATAGACGACCATGCTCTGCTTTCTTACCACTTGACCGCTTGAGGACACGACAGGGTTCGTCACAACGTCATGTTTGGCAAGCACGGTGCCAGTGCTCCAAAAGGACGCAGCTGCATGATGCTTCATGAGCCGCTGACGGCACTGTTTTGCTTCGTTTCCTGTCAGCCAGACTTGCACTTCCAGTGACAACGTTAGTATGCAGTGTCTTACTCGATGCGGGTTTCTGGACTGGCTTATGCCGAAGGACTGCCGAGTCTCATGTGCCGATGGCTACATCGTGGAAGGCCCACTGCGCCCGAAGCTCCCTGGGATCATTGACAGACAGATCTCCTGCAGAACTAAAGAAGGCACGTTGCAATCTCATGCGGCTTGAATCGGTTCATACCTGGACTGAGGGGATTACCACTGGACTGCTACTTGTCCCACCTGCTGAGTAGTAGTTGCTACTGTGCATGGGTTGTTCACTGGTTGCTCGCAGGTTGTTCACGGTTGTTCACGCCTTTACAGTTCATCCATAGGTGGGGGATGTGGCACTGACGATTTGTGATGGCTCCTTAGGTCGCTATACCCGAAACCCTGAACCCGAAACCCCAGGGTCTTGGGCTGTTTTTGCACATTTGCTGGGCCAGGCCAGGGCCCGCAAGCAATTTGCCCACTGCCGCCAGCCGCATGGCGGCACTCGTTCTGGTCTTCACGGGTCTTCTTTCGACAGATCCTGCTGAGTTCTTCGACCTCCAAACCCTACAGCCCCAGTTGCCTGAATGCAAGTATGAGTATCTAGGGTTTCTTTTTCAGGGTGCTTGGGCCAAAAACTCTAAACCCTAAACCCTAAGCCTCTTCAAATCCCCACAAGAAAGAAGGAGGCGGCCTTCTTTCGGCTGAGCGGCTGCCATCCGCAGCCCTGCACAGCGCCGCAGGGTGTCCGGGTCCAGGGTTTTTTTGGGTGCTTGGAGGGTCCAATGTAGGGTTTCCAAGGCTTATGGTTTATGATAAGGTGCTTATAGGGTCGAGTCGGTTTTTTCAAGGCTTAGGGTTTTTTTAGGTGCTTATAGGGTCCAATGTAGGGTTTTCACGGCTTGCCCAAAGGCTCCAATGTAGTTCCTTTTTTGGGTTAGTTATAGGGGATTCTGGTATACTAACGAAAAGGTACTACACAGGAGCCTTTGGGTAGCGACTGATTTGGCGACACACTCCCGCACTTACTAGCCTGAAGCACAGATATATTCTATGGGCATGCCCACGAAAGGTCTCCACGACGGTCCAGGCCCAAAGCGAACGCCCAAGTGGACAAAGCGGCAGCGGCCCAAATTTGGCTCAATTAGCTTGGCCCTGTCGCCAGGCATTCTGAATGCTGCAGAGGACGCTTGCGCAAGTCCTGATCTTAGAGGTTGGTAGCGGGATGGCTATTTCTTCAGGCGCCGATGTATGCATACAAGTCTAAGTCTGAGTAGTTGGAATAGATCTTTGTGCTTATAGCCGATGCAGGAGTAGACGCCCGGGCGTGTCCAGATGTGTGGGAAGAGCGAGATGCATGATCCTTGCGGGTGTTCTTGCAGCTCCAGACAGTCTCACTGAGAGACTTCCCACACTTCACCAAGCATGTCCACATCTGGCACGTGCAAATTCCAGGTGAGTTGGCTCCGAGGGAATGCCCCTCCCTGAAAAAAGAGCCATTTTTCCAAAGGCAACCCGTATCCCACAACAGCATCCCCAAACCAAGCCCTAAAGCATCGAGGTGGTTGGGCCATCCCACATGGTGGCACTTGCAAGACAATGTGTGCGCCAGGCGATGCTCCTGTCAAGCATGACATCTTTGGATAGGGGATGTTCTTACGGTTTGCTTTTCATGTTTCGGAAGCTAAAGTGGCGTGAAGATCTGGGAAGCCATCCGGCGGCGACAGATCCTGGCATTCTCTCCGATTTTGGTGGTAATCGGTACGCTGTTGTTGCCATGCAATCATGATGCCGCATACGTTTTCCTTCGACGTGCTTGTAGGTAATCTGATACCATGCTGCATTGAGTGCCATGCTTGGTTCGCGGTTCGCAGCTGCACATCATGCAGATGCAGGGTTGAGGGTGCGGGGTAAGGTTCCGAGACCCTACCAAACACTAAAACTCCCTCCAGCTACCCCAAGCCTGCAGGGTTCACCCAACTGCAAGTGCCCATGAAAGTAGTCCCACAGCAAAACGTGTCATTTTGTGAGGCTTTACGCCCACCGTTGCCGCACTCCAGTGCCAGGCCTGGCGCGTGGCTCAAAATCTACTATTTGCTTAAGAACCCCCCCCCCCCCAAAAAAAAAAAAAAAAACAACAACAACTAGAGAAGAATAGTCCTTATGTGGCCCTTTTAAGGAAGAATGTCTGTGTGTGTGTGTGTGTGCGTGTGTGTGCGTGTTTTTTTGTTGGTGGTTCTTCAGCAACTAGTAGTACTCAGGGTGTAGGGCTGAGGGTTGAGGGTTGCGAGCTCGAGGTTCAGGATCGTGTGCGAGGGACAGCCTTTGAACTTCACATGCCGCCATTAGATAAGTTGAGCACTGCTTGTGTGCCCAGGTTGGTGTCTTCCAGCCGGCCACGTTTTCTTGCAAAGCTGCCTGCTGCCGCTCGTCGGGGGTTGTAGATTCTTCTCGAACTCGCCATGGTACAAAGATTTCACCACAGGCTCTAGCAGTACGTTCAAAGTCTACTCCTTGCTTGAGAATGGCAACGCTGGTAATGTCTGGCACTCATGAAGATGATGGCTGCCTTTGGAGTCAGCTGCCTTTTTGTGTTGAATAAATGGCAGATCTTGCCAGTGTTGCAATTCCCTAAAGTGGCCCAGGCGAGGAGCAACCCGAGGACAACACGACCTCCTGTGCTCCCTGCCTTAGATTCTGTATAACACTCTACAGGATGGAGTTGTGTTCAAGGTCCCAGTACGGCCATTCGAGACTCGTCTGCTGAGAGCCGAGAGCATTGGCAGGTATGGCTGTGCAGATGTGACCATATCTTCAAACGCACCAACCATCACCTTCTGCAGCTCTCATGTGAAGCCAAAAACATGTAGAAGTGAACAAGAGCCTCAAACACAAACTCAGTCAATCATTGGGCAAGCTTCGCTGAGGGCTGGGGAAGTCTTTGTTCAGCCATTTATTTTCGCACTTGTGTGTCTGTTCTTCCGGATCAGTAAACATGATAGCCCTCTACCGACGACCACACCTTGAAAGAAACCTGGAATTGGTTTGCACTTCTTTCCTGAGGGGCATGCGTACTCCTCCGGGGATCTAAGCCCGAAACCTGGCGCTGGGAATTTACCCTGGGACTTTATTTACATATGTGTCCCGAAACCCTAAACCCTAGAACCCCTATATCCACATATGTCATACATAAATTTGTGTCTTTATTTACTTCTCAATATTTAGATCACGTTTAAACATATAGACACACCCCGAACCGCTGTTCTCAAGGTGGCCCTCCCACCTCAGGGCCTTCCCTGCGCTGCGCCGCTGGGAGTGGGCTTGGCCAAGGCGCCACATGCCCTTTTTTTGGGGGGGGGGGGAGGGGAGGGGGGGGTTTTGGGGGGTTTAGGGTTTAGGGTTAAGGGGGTATGGGGTCCCCGACCCTGGGAGGAGATCAAGAGAAAGTCGATCTCACTTTCCGGGATCCTGTAGAATTTGCCCGGTTAGGAGACAGGCAATTTGACGCTTCCAAGACACCATTGCAACTTCATCTTCCAGCCTACCTTTCCGCTTCGCTCCGCGCGTTGCAATTCTACAGTGACTACAGGGGGCCCTGGAGTCGCATGCCGAGTGTTACCCCAAATCAGAATTCGTATCCTGTGGTTTGGGTTTTCACTGCGATGCTTTTCTGCGATAGTGGAACTTTCGAGAAGGTTTGGGTTGGCCGTGTCCTTCCTGGTACCAAGATCGCTCCACTCGCTGAAAGCAACAAGAATGCGCCGAGTCTTGACTTTGTAACTGTGAGCCCTAGAGCCGTTAATGGAGACCACCCAAACCCCTAAACCCTAAACCCCGAAGCCTAAACCATAAACCCGAAACCCTAAACCCTAAACCCTAAAACCTAAAACCTAAACCCTAAACCCTAAACCCTAAACTAAACCCTAACCCTAAACCCTAGAGCCCCTTAATGAAGACCACTGCGTCGAGACGCGAGGACCCAAGCTGCCGGGAGGGGTTCCAGATCCCCATCGGCCAGCGATGTCGCCCTGCCTGCCTTGAGGGCCCGGGGCCCTGAACCATACAAGGCGTTCTGTACCTGGTTGGTACTACTATAGTTGCTATTCCGACCCTACAAGGCGGTCTGTGGGGGTTTCCGAAAATAGCGGGTACCTTGTTACTTATTGGGGTCCTTATTGTAGGGGATCCTAGTAAGGTCCTAGTATTTGGGGGCTTTGTGTTAGGGGTTACATGAGTAGTTGTGTGGGGGTTTCCGAAAATAGCGGTACCTTGTGGGTCCTTATAAGGGGATCCTAGTAGTTGGGGGTCTTTTTTGGGGGTCCCTTTTTTCGTAAACTCCCTCCCATACAATCTGGGCGTTATATGCCTGGTTAGTATCGGGGCCTACATTTTCAGAATAAGGTTTTTGGGGGGTCAGAATTAGAACAGGGTTTTTGAGGGGTCATACAATAATGTATATGGGGGTGATAAGGGAATACTGCTAGTAGTTACTCCGACCCTACAAGGCGTTCTGTGGGGGTTTCGGGAAATGGGGGTTCCTCATAAGGGTCCTTATCGTAAGGTTCTTTGGGGGTCTCTATTGGGGGTCCCTAATCTTCCTAAACTCCCATATACCTGGTTAGATCTCGAAAGATATTGTCTTTTCAAGATGCAGACCGGACTCGTATTCTGTTTGAGAGTAGTTGTTGGAGACGTGGGCCGGAAGTGCCTCAGAGGTTACGAGCCGACGGTGGCCGTGCTCCGATGCAACGCAAGTGGCACAGGCTAGGTGGGGAGGGACTCTGAGGTCCTCTTGCACTCTATTATTTCCATGCAAAATCTATAGTGACTGTAACCTCATGTCTACTTAAGCACAGAAGAAGGTTCGCTGATCCACAGTGAAGGTTTAGCAAGTTTAGCCTGATGTTGAGCCCCATGAGGCGGACCATTCAGGAAGTCTCCCGTTGCTTGATACTAAGAGCTCTGACAGGGGGCGAGTAGGATCGCAAAGTGCTTTGGTCTTTGGGGCTCCCCTTTGCAGGTGAGCTGTCGCCAGCAACCTTCCGATGCTGCTTGGCGTCTCACTCATGCCAATCGGTCCAAGCACGTTCTGAAACTCCGGAAGCCCGGTACTCTAGGATTTCTGCGACCAGGCACCCTTTACCCACCTAGCCTTGTAGTATAGGCTTTGAGAAACGTTGTCCAAGAGAGCAAGAGGGTAGAGAGTAGAGCGAGGTGCCTTGCCACATATGGGGCTTTCCGGAAGTAGGGGGCGGGGGTACCTTGTTGGAGTCCTTATTATAAGGAAATTCTAGCATCTGGTGGTACTTAGGGTCCCCTATTTTCGCAAACATTGCCACCAGCCAGGCCAGCGCATTATTGCGAACTCGTCGGGCTCGGAGGAGAACAATGGCCCGGACGGCGGCGAGTGGGGTGCTTATCTGGCTGGTTCTTAGTAGGGAATGAGGGAATGAGGTAGCCGGGTACCCTATGTAATTGTAGAGCCTTCATTCCCTACTAAGGACCAGGTGCTTACAGAGGGGGTGGGGGTTTGCAAGGCTGCTTGAGTGCGTGATATCCCAAAACTCCAAGCAGTACCGATCAGTAATGTTTACATCTAATAGGGTTTGGGACGTTTGGGACTTCTCGGGGTGTAGACGTTGCGTTTTCAGACGTGGGGTTCTGAGTCTCTGGTGGGACCCGATTGAGTTGGCAGTGCGAAAGGATGCAGCCTCAAGATCCGCTCAGATCGCGTGTCCCAAATTCACCATGCGAATATCTGCCTTTTAAGAATTGAGAGTGATATCGTGTGTGTGTGTGTAATCAATGAACAGAGGAAAGAAATACATACATACATCCATACATCCATACATCCATCCATACTGTATATATATATATATATATGTGTAAATGAATGAAAATTTATATATAATATTGCGGGCCAGTTGGGTCCAGAAAAGCACGTTGCCTCGGAGGTCGGCGGGCCTCTTCTTGGTCCATGCAGAGCTTCGTGAGCTGCTCAGCCCTTGCCTGCTCAGGTTGAGCATGAAGCCGTTGGGATATGGGGGTTTGGGTTGGGATGTTCCCCCTTACACTAACAGTCCTTAATATGGATTCTAGTACCCCCTGTTAGAATCCCTATGAAGGACTGTTCGTATAAGGGTTAACATTTCAAGGTTTGGGGTTTAAGTAGGGTGTGGAGGCCAGATCGGGCTGGGGGGGGGTGGGAGCGGGCTCGAGTTCAGGCACATTTTGACCTCTTCCTAGCTGGACAGCAGGCGTTTGGGCAGTGGTCCTTGGCGTTCGCAAGATCGAAGCGAATAGCTTCCACCATCTACGCAGAATGCACCCAATTTGTGTGTCAACAGCCTCGTTGAAAACCTTGTTCTACGCCATTCCTCTGCAGAACTCGGAATCTATGCCGCTCTGGGATGATTCAACATGTCCTGTCAGGTTAATATCGAATGGAATCCTCATTACAACCCGTCGTGGGGAATGTTTCAGGCTATATTACTTCTTGACTCAAGGCCCGAAACCTCTTGTCTCGGAAGGTCTGGACATCTTCCCGGTGAGTCTGAACACTCCAGCCTCTGTCAGCACCTTATTCATGTTTTTTCTCAAAGGGGTATTTAGTTTCTGTTGCACTCTTCCGGGCAGACTGTCAGGTTGCTCCCCTCGATAGGCCCTGCGCCAACTGCAGTTGCAAAGACCCCGCGCAAGCAACCTTCGCACAGGAATGTAACATTTTCAACTCAAGGCAGGTTGGCGCAAAACCTATCATGTGATCTGAGTAAAATGCTTGCAGTCAGAGTTCACTGGTCTGCAGTGTTGCTAAAAGGGGTGTGCTGCGCGACCTTGGCGAAGCTGACCTTCCGAATGTTGTCATCACTACGGTCTGCGCAGAACTGGTCAGTGCCTTTTGGGCAGAAAGGTTTTGGACAGCAAAAGGCATCGGACAATTGTTCCCCGGGTGCTACCAGATGGTGCCATTGACGTGTGCCAAGGGCTGCATTTGTCCGTGACGGTTGAAAGTCCTGGCGCCAGGGCTGCTTCCATGAGCACATGGGGAAGCTCGCTCTCCTGCTAAGCAAAAGGTTTCCAGCCTTTGCCCAAGAAGTTTGAGCCGGTAGCCTTCATTGGAAAGAACTTGGCCTTTCCATGACAGAGCACAGTGTACCTCCGAGCACTCCGACCCGAAAGACGTGCTGTCACTGGCATCAGCAGTTCGAAAAGCTTGCTGCGTTGGATGCCAGGCGAAGTTTGAAGATTGTCGAAATGCCATCGGGAGGGATGCACCACCACATTGTAGGTTGCAAGGACAGCGCAGTTCTCAGAAGTGCCAGTTCGAAAATCCGGTATACTGCCTTAGGTCTATCCTGCAGACCTGTCGACATGCGACGAGCATTTGAACGGCCAATCTACGGGGGTGAACCATGACATTCCTCCAGTATTCTGGCAGACTGCTATCCTGATGCATCCTGGAGTGAAGCTTTGACGACGTTCACAAGAATGAGACAGACCTTGCGCTCATAAGCCGGTGGACCTTAAGACCCTTGAACGATCCAACGGCTCTTTAGGCCCCAAAACTTACTTATTAAGACTGAGGGCTCAAAAGGCTTCAATTGAAGCCTACAACTCAAAGCCAAAGCCCCATAGCGTCCATGTTAGGGTTCTTGCTGCAGCTAGTTTTGACAATCTTACTCGTAGGGCAGTGGGGCCTACAAATATGTGTGTATATACATATATATATATACATATACTTATATTTATTTATATTTTGTCTTTTAATTTGAAAGGTTCGAAGCCTCACTCTTTCAGGCTAGGGCTTCAGGGGCTTCGAGTAAGCTTGAGGTCCTGGCTGAGCTGCCCGTTGCGCGCGCCGCCCTTCGCGCGGCCTCCAGCGCCGATGCACTCCGGGGGGCCGCGGCCGCTGCCTTGCGAACACCGGAGGAGCAGGCAAGGCTTGCGGAGGGTTTGAGGGCTTGAGGGTTTTGAGGGTGTTGAGGGGTTGAAGGCTTGAGGGTTTTGAGGGTTTTGGGGTTTTGATGGTTTTGAGGGTGTGAGGGCTTAAGGGCTTGAGGGCTTGAGGGTTTTGAGGGTTTTGAGGGCTTGAGGGCTTGAGGGCTTGGGGGGGATTCAGGGTTTTGGATTGGGTTTTGTTGAGGGTGCGGTGCTGTTGTTGGGGTTTAGGGCTTCCTAACCCTAAACCCTAATCCTTTTAGGGCTGGAGGGTCCGGCCAGGCGGGGAAGTCGGAGGCTCGGACTCTCTAAGCCTCATCTAGTCCTCTTTTCTTTGACATTGCCATTCCTGGCTTTAGTTGAAAGGGCTTATGTGTGGGGTTTAGGGTTTAGGGTTTCGGGTTTAGGGTTTAGGGTTTAGGGTCTTCATCGTAAACCAGCCAGATCCAGACCCTTCTATCCTTCCAAGACCATCCCCCCAAGCAATCTCAAGTACTGTGTGCCATGACGGGGCCCGTGTGCCCATGCAGAAAAGGCTTACTGTTGGTTAGCAGGGAATGGGGGACTGAGATACCCTATATAATCCTTTCAAGGGTATATATATCTATAATCATATTATATATATTTATATTTATATTATAGGGCCCTAATTCCTTCAATCCCTGACAGTCAACAGTAAGAAGGTGGCCGTGGTCCTTCACGGCCAGGGCAGCAACATCTCCCGGCGTCTGGCAGAAAGCGAAGAGGCTGCCCCGCATCGAACTCATCCCCTCCCCCTAATATTGAACCCCCCCTTTACCCCCTAGTAGCAAATACACCTCCCCCCCCCCCTCCCCCCCTCAAAAATTGCGATATCTGTAATGGGAGTATTTAATATTAGGGGGTAGGAGGGGTGTAATATTCGGAGGAGGGGATTACGTCGAACCCGAGCTGTCAGTCATAGGTTGGATTGTCTACAGACCGTGGGCTCGCAACCAAGCGGATGAAACGATGTTAGGCATCCGAGCAGCAAGCTGCTCTGTTGATCAGTGTAGAGATTATCCGATGATCTAAATGAAACGGGTCAAGCATGAATCTGGAAGACTGCAGAGAGGCCATCAATGTCGAAATCGCACCTCGAACCACAGCACTTTCTCGCCGAAAGGTTCTATCGAACCTCACGCTCTACAGCCTGTTTCTAGGCCAAAGCAATGCCACGGAGGCGTGATCACTTGTCCTTGCGCTTGCGCGAGTTTCGACGCGAGGTCTTGCCTGTCATGTAGCAGATGCACTGGAAGGTTTGTGATTATAGAAGCACTCTTGTCAGGAAAGACTGAAGACCCTGCTTCACACGGGTCACCGGAACGGTGCGTGAAACTTGAATCTTGAAGACAACGCTTCCAAAACATGTGCGCACTGCTGGCTTCCGCGGCAGACAGAAGCTGGCTCGAATCCTTGGCTCGCCTCCCCAGCTCGTTTCCATGCTGCTCTCGCGTGTCGATACCTTATCTGACTCCGAGAGCGAGGACAGCAACGAGAAGAAGCCACATCCACACGGGGGCCTCACCCGCGCCGAGATCACGAAGCAAACCATTCAGAAAACGCAGGCCGAGCTGGCGCGCAAGATGAAGAAGCTCCGGGAGGACAAAGAGAAAGCCAAGCTGGCAGCGCAGCGCAAGGCCAAGGCCAAGAAGGAGTTGGAGAAGAAGGTGAGGGCTGGCAAAAGGGCCGAAAAGGCCCTCCGAAACTTCTGAGTTCTGAGGTGCTCTGTGCGCCTCAGAGTTTCTGAGTTTCTGAAGGGGGTACAATCTGTTTGTCCAGCAGGGGATTATGACCGGGCGCGGGCGTGAGCAGTTGAAGTTGGATGGGAAGTTTCAGCGCGCAGTCGCGCGCAGTCTCTCTCTCTCTCTCCCACATGCACTCACAGACACACACCAGAGACAGAAAGAGACAGAAAGAGACAGAGAGAGACAGAGAGAGACAGAGAGAGACAGAGAGAGATGGACAGACGCAGACAGACAGTCACACTCACACAAAGACTCTCACAAGCACACACAGACAAACATCCTCTTCATCCCTCGACCCTTTCACGCCTCCGCGTCACATGGTCACACGGATTCCTGCTTGCCAGGCCGTGCTGCAGATCCAGGAGCTCGTGGCGGGTGGCAGCCCAGCTCTGCTCTTCGAGGCGGAGGGTTTTCCTTTTTTTTTCTGTTTTGCTGCAGGCACTGCATGCAAAGGGGGAGGATGGCTAAAGGGTCTTTGGATTTCTAATCGCTCTCAGAGCCTCTCCCTCTCTCTCTCGCTGTCTTTTTTCGTCTCACTCTCTGTCTCGCTGTCTCTCTGCCTCTCTGCCTCTCTGTCTTTGTTGATGGACTGTCAGAGGAAGATGCTTAGTTTGGAGCCCGGAAGTTCTGGGCCTTACAGAGTTTACACGTGTTTAATTACACGTTGCAACTTGAAGTCGCTCGACTGAGCCTCGAACTCTGTCGATCACGAGGAATGTCAGCCATGAAGTTGTGAGTCTACGCCAGGAGGCACTCCGGACCAGCCTCCCTGAGCTGTTGGGCGATCAGGAGCATTGCGTCTGACGTTAACTGTGGTGCAGGTATATCGACAACAGTGCCAGACAATGTCCCATGGGCAGGCCCCTTCCCTGCTCATTGCGCTGGCAGAAGAGGCCTCTCTGGACTTTCCATTGGAGTATGTTGGAGTACACGTTTCACTTCATGCACCCTAAGCCGAATCCTTGACTCAACCTTAACAGCAGATTCGTTGCAGCATGGATGCACCCATGCCGACTTGGCACACTTCGGCTTTTTCGCTCCCCAGGTTCCGCCGACCCCGGATGCTGAGAATCCGTAGACCTCAACCCATTGCATCCAGGCCAGTTCTGGCTGGATCTCGTCTTTACACCAGCTGCCGAGCTCGGACATTCGTCCCTTCACTCAGTCTTGGCAGATGAGGTCTTAGAGGGTTTCAGATTTCGGGGGTCAAGGGGCCTTGTGTAGAGTTTGGGGGTCTTGGTTTCCGGTCCGGTTCATGGTACTTAATAACCAATTATAACTGTACCTATCACCTGCTTATAAGCCCCAGAAGTGCCCTAATATGGTAATAAGTTATAACTGGTTCATAAGTACCATGAACCTCCAAGTAGAACCATCGATTTCCTGGTTCTTAGTAGGGAATGAGAGAATGAGGGCCCTTTTCATGCCCTATATATACCCTTTAAGGGATTATATAGGGTGTCTCATTTCCTCACTCCCTACTAAGAACCAGGGGGTCGAGGGTTCGAGGGTTTCGGAGACCTGCCGAGTTCTTTCCTCGGTGCCCACCTCGGAAGCCGCTGGCTTCCTCCCCGCGGAGTTGGACACCTTCCTGGCCAAGGCGTATGGGTGGAAGGGGTTTAGGGTCTAGGGTTTAGGGTTTGGGGTTTGGGGTTTAGGGTTTAGGGTTTAGGGCATGGTCCCGATTATAGCAACCACTATTTGTATCCTTACGGTTACCGCTTGCTGCAGCGTTGTGGAAGTCGATATTTTTTTGGTTAGAAAGTCTTTCAGCGCCACCCCTCCAACGGAGCACTTGATAGGGGCTTGGAGCCTAGTAGTTGACATTGACGGCATCGGGGAGCATGCAAGGCGTGAAAGGTTGAATGATGGGGTCGTGAGGTTTTCGTTCTGTTGCCGAGCTTGCCAGCTGGAAGAAAAAAGCGGCTTGAGAAAACATTGAAGTACCGCATGCGACGATGCACCAGCACCTGCGCCAGTGGAGGACTGCATGGTCCGGGTTAGGTCTAGGTTCCGTCCCAAAAACACTGCCAGCCATCACAGCCACCAAGCCGCATGCGAACCAGCAACTGCAGTGGCAGGGCCAAGGCCAAAGCCTTCATGGAAGCCGAGCGACAACAAGGAGCCACCACGACGAAGAGAGCAGCCACCGTGAATAACCGCACAACGCAATCGGGAGTGCAGGCCATGCAGTCCTCCGAGATGAAACAAGAATAGCCAATGATTGTAAAGACACGTTGGTTTTCTGCAGATTGATGGTCGTTCTAGAAAGTGAAGCTTCGCAGCAATTAACCACGATAAACGGCTTTCAAACGGAGTTTATTGTACAGCGACCGCTTTCGTAACATGATTCGTTTTGGTGGTTTCTATATCCCCCATGGGAATAGTTTTTTGTTTATTTAAATCCCAAGAGGATATTAAAAAAAAAAAAAAAAAAAAAAAAAAACATATTTTTATTAAGGTTCCCCTTAGAAGGTTTAAGTGAAGACGAAACATGATTAATAGCACGGTTTACACAAGATTGATCTTCCTCCCAAAGGAGTTGTTAGAAGATTCTTCAACGTCTCCACGCACCACTCTTTCGCCACGGACAAGCTACACCACTTTGACTTCAATCGGTGCACCATCTGGAAATGGCCCAGTGGTGCTCTTGACATTTTGTCCGTTTGTTGCCCTTTGCAACTCCTAATTCCATCCATCATTGCTACTATCAGTATGGACCTCCAAAGCTTGCCAGCCTGCAGGTTTTCCAGGAAGTCGACGATGGAGGCGAGGCGACTTCCGACGGCGAGGAAGGCTGGATTTCCGGATGCATAGGTTGCCGTGGACGCACATTGCAGCGGCGATGTAGGCTTTGAGGAACGACTTTGTGTTAGTGACCCTGGGCACTCCTTAACGATCCCATCGAGAACAACTCTGCATGTGCTGCTCACAACCTAGTGCATAGGTACTTAGCAGACTCCAGACTCCCTCAGCCGGCCTAAAGATCTATCGCAAGTGACGCCAGGTTTCCCCTACACCGATGGCTTTCTGGATTTTCTTGAAGGCTCGCTGCTGTCACACTGGGCCGACGGTTCCACTTCTTTGAAGGAAAGGCTTTGCTCCGGCTGCCATGAATGGTGCAAGATGTGTAATACAGTCCTTAGAGCATGCCCCAATCCCCGAATTTCAATCCAGCGCAGAACTGCAGGATATGCTTAGTTCGTGAACACTTCTACCCTGCTGGACAAGGGTTCTGAGAACGCTTTTGTTACACGTTCAAGCACCTTCCCTGATGAGTTCAGTATTCTTGGTCTTCTTTCTTGTGTAACAGTGAAGGTATCTGGCTCCTTCAGGCGACCCGCATCCAGTTGGCAACCAGGCCAGGCCATCGTTCTAGGATGCATCGAGCTTTAATATTATTTCGGAAACCCTAAATTCCATAAGTACCCTAAATACCCTTGTGTTACTGTGAAGAGAGCACTTATAATGCAGAGTTACAAGCGGGATGAATAGAATGAAGGTAGCGCGTGAACTATATGATTATGCGAACGAAACCCAAGAACGAATTCGCTCACTCATGCACTACATTCACATTTAGTACATTCATCCTCTATTAAAATTACTATTCGAATTACTATGAAGAACACAAGAAAGATATGAAGGGAGTGAAAGAAGTGAACGAGCGCATATACGAACTAATGCTGATCGCACGCAGAATATTAATAAAGGTGCGTACGCGTGCTCCTTTTATTGTTGTATTGCAAACGCGCGCATGAATAGAAGCATTATTTCCCGAAATAGGGGTACCCCTCCCAATATACCCCAATTCCTATAAGCCTTATAAAAAAAGGAACCCCCAAAAAGGGTACCCCTGACCCTTATTTTCGGAAACCCCCCCACATGCAGGTTGGGCAGCGGCTTCGCCACGGACACCGTCCTCGCCCTGATCGCCTTCATGTTCTTGTGCCTGGTGCCAGCCTCTGGCTCCTCTGCAGCTGCCTTTGCGACATCAGAAGTTCAGCATCAAATGTCCTGAGTGCTCTATGTACAAGTTCACACGAGCTCCACTAGTCTGCATTTGTGCAGTGGGTCTTGGTGGCTTCAACCCAGCTCGTCGGGGAAGGTGGTCTTCGCTTTGGCCGCCATCCACTATCGTTGCTTCGTGCGGCCGCGCACAGCATTTCAGCTTGGCGCCACGGTGGCACTGCGCGACCTGGGGATTTTGGGCAGCCTGGGTCTTGAGCTCTCATTCAGGGAACCGGGTTCTTGAAGGCACCTGGACAAAGGTGAATCGTCTCGTAAAGCAGGAGGTTTTTCTCAAAGAGACTCCATCTTCGAGCTCAGCTTGCTAGATGCTAGTTACCAGTTGTTTTCTCCGAGATAGTTGGAGTTTGAACTTGCTGGTTCAAAAACCCAGTAGCATACTGGTAGACACAAACTCGGTCATTTTCTGCAGTTTCTCTCAACTTTTTCCCGATTTTGCCCGGGCGTTGGATTCTTGGTCAAGGCCCGATTTGAAGCCCAACAGTATGTGCGTAGTTCTTTCAATTCGGGTCCCCTTTAGGGGTACTTTAGAAGGTGTTGTACTATGTATAGGACCCAAAAAGGGTCCCTAGTTTAGAGCACTACCCATGTGCTGTTGGGAATCTCTGAGGATCTTTTCTGGAGTAGAGTTCAGATTCAGAGGCCCACTAGGACAGGCTCGAAGTTTTCACCAAGCAGCTGCCCCTTTAGGGCACGCATCTCTTTCGGGGTCTTGTGGTAGGGTCTATGGTCATTGGCCTGTGCAGTCGGCTTTTGAACTCACGGAATTCAGGGCTGGAAGGCTGCAGTCGCGGTTTTGGATCGTACAAGTGGTAGGTTTAAGTCGACCCTGCCGGGGTGAAGTCGTGCCAAGCCCATGTGCCGCAGGGTTTGGGCTTACTTTCCCATATCCCCAACATATCTGGGTTGAAATCGTGTCCTGGTCTATGACCGACCTGAGATTCCCCACACACTGGTAGCCTCCGTGTCCAGGAAGGGTGCAGAACGTTCAAGGAGTTTAGGGTTTCAGGACGGGGGCAGCCCAAATCACCCAATCGCAGAGTTTGCAGCATGGTGTTGAATGGCCATCTTACACTCCGAAACTCCTAAACCCTGAGACCCTGAGCCCCCACTCAACCTTCAAGCTTGGCATGGCTGGGCTATCTTAGGCGGCTGGGACGAGACCTCCTACCGGTCCGTGTACATCATCCCGGTGGGGCCCTCCAGGGTAGCCCCTCTGTTCGGCCAGATTTTAGGGCACAGGGATGTTTAGGATTTTGTAGAGGCTTAGTTTTTTTAGAAGTGGTCTCTGGTACGCGCCCCAAACAAGGGGGCCGTCACCATGGCCTGTAGGCTGTTTCAGAGATTGCGGGCACCTGTGACAACATGGGGGAGGCTTCATGTTTAAGTCTGAAAAGCCTGATCAGAAGTCCACTGCTCTGCAGGGCAACGGCTGGCGGCTT